TTGCTAACGTTTTTTTGGCCTATTCATAATACAATTTACCAGTCAGAGGAATGAAAACTCCCGAAACTGGGATGAAACACTTTCAATTCTACAGTAACAACTTACCTTCGGAGCGAGCGACCAAACAGCGATACCTGGTAGAACTGAAACGTAGCGTTAAATTCCCGCGCAGAACAGTATTTGACATCTTGTCTGGTCAGCATTTGAGCGCTATTGTTATAAAGTAAGTTGTGCCGTTTGCTTATAAACGGCAGGTAATTACTTCCGCAACCTGTCTTGCTCTATTTCTCGAAACTATATTTTAAAGAAATGGGGCGTACGTTTTAAGTTCGTGTGCATCGAGTTTTCAACCGTTTTAGCTCAAATTTGGCGAGAATTTTCCCATATAATGTGGCTCAAAAACAGTGTTGGCGTTTTTGGTTTTTCTGATTCTTTCTAGAGTTATAAACAAATGAAGGAAGAGGAGAGATATTTCTTCGAATCTCGAATTAAGTTTAACCGGGCGTAGAAAACAAACCAGGCAAGCAATCGAAATTCGCCGACACTGTTTTTGAGACAAAGGTGTTAAGAACTCGGCGCAATGTTTGTCTCTTCGTCTAGATCACTTCCGACTGCACAGGAACTAAATACTGCAGGCCATGTTCTTTTGCAAAACGACCGCTATATTTTCAAGGCATTTATTTTTTTTTCTTTCAATAAATATGGTATGGTAATCTTCATTTATTAAGCTTTCAGAAATATATAGTTTGTCAGGGTTTTTATTTAACGTCTCGTCTTAAAACGGTGCGAAGGCAAAGCGGTCATCTGGGGTGAGATGCTACCTTAAACCGTTTAAATTTCGGTAAAGATTTGACCTACAACAGATATTCGTTTAGTATTCTGTTGCTTTTCTTCCGCCGATTCAACCTTATGAATGATTCTGCAGTGGGCCTGCCTCCTGATAGTATAATCGATGCAGGTCTGCCTTCGTATTACTTTTTGACGAATCATTCTTTCCAATTATAAGATAGTTATAAATTTTTGAGACAACTTTAAAAGTTTGACGAGAGATTGAGTTTCTCCTTTTATTTTAATTGTTCCTTTATCCTTTTTAGCATATGCGCATGCGCAAAGTTCCATTAAGGGTACTCTAATGCGTACCGTACCAGATGGAAGACACGTTGCTTACAACGTTATATGTTTTTGTTACCTAGAAACTCTTCGAATAGTTTCAAATAGCCTGAATGTAACGCATCTACTATAGCAACCATTCAAATTTTCGTATTTAACTGCCAGCTTTCCAATTTCAA